ACCGCGGATACTTTTTAGATGACCCAATATATAAATGAAGATAATTACCGATCGTTTAATAAGTTGATTAACGAGTGTGCTTTTTCCGACATTTGGCGCGCCTAGAAAAGCGATCTTCAAAGACTTTTCAGCTTCACGATGTATCGATGTATGATTTTCATTGGATTGTAAAGCAAATTCTTGCGGATCATTTGTCGAAATGCCGACACTGTTTGCGAAACATCGCCGTAAATAACGCGCACTCGCGCGAATCGTGTACCTTTCGATCGTAAATAACATTTCGTGTTTAAGATCAAAGTAATTTTGAGAAATTTTATATGTACGTCGAGTAGATCTCCGAAATTATGCTTCTTTTTATTTTTTCTTATATCGTTTCATGAACATTACATCGTGGTGTGTAGGTTATATTTGCATGAGCGATTTCTTCTTTTAGATAGTTAATTTTCGAGTCACAAAATCGTAGTTATTTATTTATCAAAGATTTAATTAATTTTCTAGTGTAGGCTGTGATTAATCAATAGATTCTTGAAAATTATACACTCATGTGGCATCACTATCGGCGTGATACATAAAGGTGTCTTTTCAAGCTGACGACTGACGACCGGTGACACTCTTTAACGTCAAATGGCATCAAAACAGATTACGTGATAAAAATTAACTCTTGATACTACAGCATCTATATAATACAGATGTTTGTGCTTGATATTTGTTAATTTTACATGTGATTTATTAAGCGTCAAACATTAACAAGGGAACTTACAGCTGTTTATTTTTCTTTTATAATATAAATATCAAAATACAAAAGTACCTAAAAATATTAAAAATCAGTTTTTATTGTACAAGAAATTTTTTATTTTTTTGTTATTTCATATAATTTCTAAGTAAAATATTAAATTTATCTAATCTATATTGTTTTGTTATTTAGACTAATCTAATTTTAAGACACATTTTTAGATACTCTAGTTTAATAAAATTAATATTTTTCAAAATTAACTTTTTATTTAACTTGAGTTAATTCAATTTTAACATAATAATCTTAACTTCAATCTCATAACTTTAACTGAGTTAGCTTTTTGTTTATTCAACTTTTAACTTAACTATTTTAATTTTATAAACCATTAACTTTAACTTAATTTAGTTAATTAAAAAAAAACATTTATTTATCTAACCCTAGATATCGTTGATAAGAACCGATTATAAATTGTCAGCCTTTAGAAAATATTTATAAAACAGGACTATTTCCAGATAAGATTAGAGCAAAAGGCCGATTTGATTGGTCACGCCAATTGTTACCATCGTCTCGAATCGGCGACGATTTAGCGCGTCTCGCGCACAACTTCACGTCGTACTTCGCGCGTCGTCACTAGTGAAGCAATGGCGAACGACGACGATTTGCGTGAAGATAGATGTCTGTGATTATTTGTTATCAACGCGCGTCTATCGTAGTCTATGACTTTCATCATCAGTTTCATTGATCTTTTTGCTCCTCGCTAGAGACGCCGCGAGGCGAGAAATATTGCTCCTTGAAAAGACTGTGCGTTTGTTTGTAGAAGAGAAGGGTGAGGAAAAAAGAGTGATAACCGAGGCGCGAGGATAATGCGCAACTTCGGCAGGACGAGAACATAAAAGTGCGGAAATAACGTGAGAATATTGGATCTTAGTACTTATTTCTTGTCAATTGCATTACACCGGTCACGCCGATATTCAATGAACGAGGCTCGATCCATGAACGTTAAGGTCGCCCGTGATACGTTAGTGAATAAACACGGAGGATAAGTGAATGTCGCAGACGCCTCTTAGCAGTTTCAGCTGACTCCTTGAGAGGACCAACATGTTCTACTCTTTACTCTATTAGTTTGCATTTATAAATTTCCTTGTCCGAGAGCTGTCTCAAACAGGCAGGAGGTAAGCCTGTTGCACACAGGACGCATCAACGCATCAATAATGAATGTTCGCATGGAAAAGCAGCTTTATGTATAGCAAGAAACAACGCAATAGCCCAATTGGACTCAGATCTGAAAGAAAAGGAAACGAATCGAGCAATACCAGTTAGGGTTTATTCTCTGCGCCTTTTTCCCTGCACTTTCTGCACTTTTCTGACACAGTCGCTGTAGGATTCCCTTTACTTCAGATCGCTCTATTGGAACAGCTGGCTCCCTTTAAACTAATTTTTTTTTCACACTGTACTATTATGTTATATATTTACCGTGTGGTTGTATACATAAAGTGAAAAAACGAACTAAAGAGCACTCGATGACATTTTATTTTTTTTATATGCTGTTAGAAAAGTGGATATTCAAGAGGTTACAGAAGCAATAAAAACAGAACTGTTTATAATATTCTATATGTTTTTAACATTGATAATGATCCAATTGCGATTGAAACGTGTTTATTTATTGCTCTAACACATTATATTAACTAAACTATAATTATTTTTGTTTACTTATATTTCAATACTTGTGTTACTTATTCTACATTAACTATGTAATTGAATAATTTTTTGGCTTGTAGCCCCTTTTTTCTCGTTTTGTATCTTTTTCTATTGTTTTTAATAAATTAAATGAGCGTTTCCATCAGTTTTCTTGACTGTACTTTCGCATGTTTGTTTACTTTAAAGAATGAAAAAAATACAATTGAAAAAGACTCGATTTTATTTTCTATTTTTGTAATGATTTTTACATAAATATTTATAATATTCATAACATATTTAATTATCTTTAAATACATAAAATATAAGCGTTTAAGATATCTATTTTTTTAGAGTCATTAATTCCATTCTTTTTTATTGCGTAGCTGTATTTACATTTTTCACGTTCACTATGAGACACCAATTATCTTATCTATTTAACTGTTAAATACATGGTGCTCTTTTCAGAACATTATAAAGCATCTTTATGGTAGAACAATGCACCTTTAAGGTAGAAGATGAACTTTACCAGTGTCATTGACGACAATAAGTTTATAACAGACAATGAGTAATATACATCAAAAACTGATAGAACGCATCTATTCGAAATATATGATCAGTGGGATCTGGGATCGACCCCGACGAGCAGGAGAGTTGCAAGTTGAAGGAAATTTTCAAGAAGAATCGTGCATAATTCTTACGTCAACGAGAAATCATTGTAGAGTAAGTAGTGATACTTTCTAAAGTTTGACTCCCATAGATTGTATATGAGAAAAAGATTTATTGATTATTTTGATAAAAAACATTGATTGAAAATTTGCTGATAAAAATTGCGCATAAAAAGAGATAAAGGAAAGTCTGTCAAAATTTGTTTTTATTTGATAGAAAGTTTTCTGAGAGTTGCTAAAGAATTTATAGATTTTTATGGCGTCTTTTAAAATCTTGTTAATATAAAAGGAGATGAATGAATTTTAATTGGAGTAAAGATATGTATATTTTAAATTATATTTCTGCCGCGTTTCTTTGTGCATCAGTTTATTCCTTGATTTTTCATAAAGATATACAACAAGACCATGAGTATTTACTGAGACACAGGCTATGATTTATAGCCAAAAACTAAAAATGCTATCTTCATTAGTTAACAATGGATCTCTGAATCCGCTGCAGTGACTCCCTGATGCACTTCTGGCTCAACAAACCGCCGGGCAGGTTCGGCGGCCGATATCCCGCCACACCTATGCCCAAATCACACAGTAAGTGTATCAAAGTATAACGATATGAATCCAGTATTAGCAAAGTACGAGCAAAAGATAAAGGATATGAAAATTGTATATTACAATTCTACTTGTGTCTTATGCATATATTAAATTTATCAATATTTTATATATCCAAAATTTAGAATATCTTTATCTTTGTTATATGAAATTCAGAATAAAATTTAGAAATTATTTCTTCAGATAATTCTGTAAAATTAATTAAAGATAAATCTGATAAACGAATGAAAGAATTAACAACATTATATGAGGGAAAATTTCAATATCTATTCTTTTTATTTTTCTTATCGTTATTTTACTTTTTGTCATTTTATTTATCAATTATTTTTGCAGGCCAATGTCGGCGCAGCGGCCAACATAGGCAAATGGTGAGTGCTGTGCATCAATTCCAGGGCCTCGCAGGTAACCTCGCAGCAGGAAACGCATCTCCAGCCGGACCTAGTAATGTCAATAATTCCTGCCGGAGCTTCGCTCGTTCGACGACGTCTGCGCGAATCCATAACAACGAGAACCATCATCACGGTTCGTCATCGCTCAGCGCCGTCCAACTCGCTCAGCTGAACAACATCCCCAAGTAATTAATGAAAACACAAAAAGGTCTACACTAAGACAAAGGAGACATTCTGAGAGGAACATGCTCTTCCTATATACAGGGTGACTCACTTATACATATCTATCAGCAGAAAGATTACTTATAAATGATTCGCCCTCGATTTGCAGCTTTGTGAGTTTAGTACAAAGATACTATGGCGGTATTAAATCGTTTTTGGCTTAACGCATTGTTTGCAGCAATGTCACCGACGCTAGCAACAATCAACTAATTCTGTCTAATACGACCGGCGTGAATGGTACAGAACGGAATAGAAGCCTACTGACAGGAAGTGTCTTTGAATTACGGCAGGCTGAGTTGGCCGGCTTCCGATTGCGCTGTGGGATTTGGTCTACCTTTGCTCTAGCAACAGTTTTTGTAGCGGCTGCTAAATTCTACTTTGGTTATCGGGTAAGCGTATTTGTACTTAGAAAGAATTCTTATTTCTAGATTTTATCTCAAAATTCTGCATCTCTAAAGAACTGCCACTGTTTTGTGATCTTCTTACTAGTTTCTTATTTTCTTACTTTATACTTTCTAATTGATTCTTATTTTCGTGCTAACAGGGGCCTGGCCTGGAGATACTCGTATTTTGCGGGCTACTGATATTTCTGCTGTCCGCTTGTTTATACTCGATCTTCTGCAAGTACACTCATGAAAGAAATTACCATCACAATAGTCGGTCAGAACATAATGCTCGTATGCAGGAGGATCATATCGTTGCCCTGACAAACGCGTCCAGCATCGGCGACAGCATTGTCAGTAGAGCGACGGCGACAGTGCCGACGACGACGGTGAGGCAGCCGCCTCCACCGCCTTATCACATCGCTATCCTGATACCACCGCCATCACAGCCGCCACTTGCACCTTCGGACGAGGCGCCGCCACCCTCTTATGACAAGGTCATGCGATGAAATCGTCGACGCGGCGTAAAATCGAACTAGGACGCTTGTCTAAGAATTCTTCCTTTGACATGTTTATGTCCGCTACGTAAGGCAGCACAAATCAATTTCTCTAGGTTTAAGCAACATTGACGTCTGTGATAAGAGCGCAATGATGATGACACATCGATAACACATCGGGGATCTGATTCGGGGAAAGAAAAGATTCACGCGGCGATATTTTTTAGTGGGCATTATCAAGAGAGCCGCGCTCCGCCAATGAATTTCCGTTTGGTCGGGTAAAATATATTATATTCTAATCTTTTTATACTTTACTATATGCAACTATGTGATATATTTAACTTAGGTTTAGCAGCGCGTTGCTGGACTTGGTCGATCCATTCATTTATTCTTCCAGTTAGGACTTCCGCGAGGCGATCGCTCACATTCGGACGCGATTCTTCGATATATATAATTCCAAGAATTCACTCAATTATGTTCGATTACTTAATTGTCTTCATGATCTTATAGAACGATATACAAAGGTAACTCTTGTTACACACACATCTACTCATACATATATGTATGTATATATGGATGTCTGTACATATATATATATATATACACGCAGAGGCATATAAAAAAAATGAACTCATGAATTTGAATCTGGGTGTCAAATTTGCAAAACGTATGCATGATCGTCACTTAAGATAAGGTGGTAACCGCGTTTGGCGTACAGTTTCTGTTATCAAATAGATGTAACGTTCTGTCCACCAAACACGCTCGTTACCGAATATCATATATACGATATATATTGCGTGCTTCATGCGACATAGAAGCACGCGCATACGGCGTTTTACGATAGTTACAAGTAATACGGAACTATCAAACGACGAGTTTTCGTGCGAAATATAACACGATTTTGTATTTCTTTTTCCATGAATGCAAAGTGAGAGCGAGAGAAAGGGAGAGAAAGAAAGAGAGTACACACAAATGTAAATAATCGTTTATGTCATAACTCTGTATATTTAAGAACAGCTACATATATAATACATGGTGTGAGATCCTGTTTGGATGTTCTTCGTAACTATAAGTCGCAAATGTACTGTGATGTACAAAACTCATCGTCATTTCTAACTGCACTTACAATTTTGTTTTTATTTCAAAAATACAAAAGCAAAATTCAAATTCCCTTTTTTAAAAATTTATCATATAGTCAAAGAGATCTATCACAAATTATCTGGATATTTCTGTTTCTATATGACGAAATTATCGATTTGTTTAAAAAGTATTATGAAAAGCGAAAAATAAAATTACAGAATATGAATTTTGCTTCTATACTTTTTTAAATTTCTTTTTTTCTGTTAAGGCCTGAGTGTATACATTTATTTTATTTTGAATTATAGAAAGTCTAACAGTGCAATCGAAGAAGAGCACAAGGACCTAAGGTCTGTTTTCCTTATATCATGTCACAATTTAAAAAAATCGCGATCGATTTGCGTTGCGCACGTCATTTCGTTCGTAAAAAGCATGTTCATTAAGTCCGTTCTTATTTACACTTTAAAAAAATAAATTTCGTAAGACGGAAAAAAGAAAGGCGTGATGTTATAGTAAGTGCAATAAAAGCGGACCCAGAAATTCTTATCGTACAGAGTATCGATCATGTAACTTTTTTTTATAAAACAGAAAAGTGAAAATTTTTATGTATGCATATACATATATGGCTGCATTTTCTTATTATACCTTCTTGCATTTATACTTTAAGCATTCTTATCTTCTATTTTTTTATTTTCTGGTCGGGCATCATCTATCGCGTGGTTTATTAAGCAAGACGCTTTCAAGTATTGTCTCATTTCTCTGTAATTCATAATTTGTGATTCGTTTCGTTTTCTGGGAGGTTTAATAGCAGTAGTTCTGCTGGTGCCTCACCATTTGTGTATACTTTGTAATTTCTCAATACACAATAAATAATAATAATAATAATGTACACATATGCATACAATTTTTACTTTTCACGTTTTCGCCCTAGGGAAAAAGTTACATAATAACTCTGATCCAGTACTTTTCGCGAAAGTGTGAAATGGTTGCTACAAATATAAATAAGCATTCAAATATATTAATTTAGTTTACAGCTATACGCGAAGTATACAACATTTAGATGCAAAAGCGGACAAAATCTTTTTGAAAAGCGCAGCTACATATCGCGAAAGATGAATTCTCTAATTCTGATAATCATTCTACGATATCGCCGGTCTTAATGAAACAATTATCGAATATTTTTTTGAAAAAATTATACGATATATAATTATGTTAAAAGGATAAATATTAATAATACCAATCGTAAAACTGTAAAATATAAATTATGATTGATGACAGTAAAATTGTATATAAATATAAAAACGCGAAGAAATGAATGAGTAAAGTTTAAAATATAATTTTTTATTTATAGTCGACTCTTCTTGTCGTCTATTAAATTTGTTTAATTAATAGACTTCCTTAAGATCGACGATACATATATTATATATATATATATATATATGTATATATACACTGATACCGATTGTAAACGACGTTTACAATCTTGTATACAGTACATGTATGTTACATCAAGATGAAAGTACTTTGAAGGCTCTCGCCATGTAAAAAGTAATTAGAGACAAAGCGTGTGACTTGATGCGTTCGTCGTGTCTCATTATATTTCCATAAACATTGGTCAAAATTAACCGATGTTTAATTGATTCCTGCCTCTTTCTTGATTATTAAAATTTGATTTGACTTGAAAGAATGGCGACAACTATCAACGAAATTTAAACTTAAGAGAATCAATTTCACTAGATCTTTGTAATTAAGCGAAGAGACAAGGAATCAATTAAATTTCAATGAAGGATTCTAATGATTTAACACGTTTTTATAAGATTTCAGAAAAATTTGAAGCTCTTATAATTATACATGTTGATTTTAATCGATATATTTTATTGATATATTTTGACATTTATTTTAAAACGGAAAAAACTATTCTCGAGTTCTTACGAAAGCGTCACACTGAATCCTTCAATTTTACTTAATGTTCAGGAATGATTATACACACAATAACGAGTTCGATGACTCATCTTCTTGCGCACTGCCAATAAAACAGTATTTCAAGCGCGAACTATAACGAACCTTTTGACGATTATCTAAACCCTCTGGATCTCGAACAGCTTGACGTCTGTATCGTACCATATGGGTGGTTCGACATTTCTCAAATATATAACACCCCACATATACGTGCGAAACCACGCGGTCGTGCCGGGGTTAGCCTGATACCGCCTGATGAGAATAGGATGCGGCACTGGCAGTAATCCGACAAGGGTACCATGTTGCAGAAACTTCAGGATTTCGCTCTCGTCTGTCAGCCCCCTTAAGATTAATAAAAGAGAACATATAAATATGAAAATGATAAGTGTTGTTATGTATACGAAATTCTCTAGCGGAATTTTAAGCGCGACAACATTCTTTGATCGACCTATGCTTATTATTTATAAATAAGAATGCTCGCTCACTTGTCGATGCAGATTTTCTCAACCTGTGGAACGAGGACTTGCAGTAATCGCATGATGGTTTGCAGAGGAAGTTTGCTCTTCCACTGATACACCCAATCGCTAGACGGTACCCACTGATTAACGTTATTGACATTGTTGTTACTCGTTTGCTCAGCCACACGAATGCCACCCTTCTGGAGACAGCGAATGAATTACGATTGTCATTATTGATTGGATTTATTAATCAAATGTTCATATATCGGTCTTTGTTACTATTGAACGTCAATGGATTTTTTTCAATTAAGATTTCAATTAAGAATAAACAATTTCATATCTCTGTTCCTTACCGGTACCACGGAATTCTTGGTCACGTTCATTGATTCTTCCGCGATATCTTCCGTCTTGCTCTCTCTCTCCGAATGATTAGTAATCAATTTATTAATGTCAATACTGACTGATGGACTCAGTGGATGCGCAGATTCTTTTTCCGTCATGTTCTCAATACCTGTTAGTTTAACAAATTTATATTATTTTTAAATTTGAATTTCTATCCAATAATATTGTTATATATTCTTAAATTTAGATCTATGAACTTAATTGTTAATCTACATATAGAAGAAGATTCACCGGGAGTCTCCAACAAGGAGTACTTGCAGGCATGTGACGACGCTGCCTTTTACTAAGAGACTTCGCGATCGTATTGCAATCACTGGGCAAATTCGCGAGAGCGTGGAATACTTGTCGTTTGCGTATTATAGTATAAACTAAGTTGCTATTTCCATCAAATTGATACTGAAAATCGAAAATAAATGGTAGATCTAAATTTATATTATTTATTTATAATATAATATTTATATTATTTATTTATAATATAATAATAGTATAAAAACCACATTCCTAAACTATGCATGTAGCAAATTAATAACTAAACATTCAAATAATTTCTATTCCAAAACATGCAAAAATATTTTTCTTCCCATTAGTTTTAATAAAGCAAATCTATTAGAAAATATATAGAAATAAATTATAAAATTAATAAAGGAAAGATTAATTCTTTTTCACACAAAATTTGCGAATGATAATGCTATATAAATTACACTTTTTTTACACTTTTAAACATCTTGTATAATGAGAAAAATAGATTATATGTTGTGTGATTATATGGATGCACATTTAATCGTGCATTTTGTGAGCGCATTACCTGAATAATATTGTTAAAGATCTCGAGCAAAAAGAATACCAAATGGTGATTAGTGGGTGCTGAGAAAAGGAACCACGGTGTACTAAATGCCTCCAACAAATGTAGCAGTTTTGTGCTAGCCACCATAGACAGTGTTTTAAGATACGGCGACACATTGACTAGAATCGTTAGTAGACAATCGAATAGCGGTTGCAGTCTTTGATGACCGGTCGTGATGATTTTATGAAATACAGTGACTAAGAGATCAGCATGCGTTCCTGAAATAAAATTATTATCATTTTAATATTGATAATTTAATAATTAATGATTTTAATAATTGACTTTACAATCAAAAATACAAATCTGCAATCAAATATTACGTTTTTAAATTAATATATTTAAAATAATCTTCTGTGATTCTTAAAAACGGTAAATATAATTATTACACCTGTAAAAACGGGAATATCCATAGGCACTGTAGCTGTATAGGGTTTATTCAACCTCACTCCGAAATTGCGTTCTCCACTCAAGAGAAGTAAAATAAATACACCGATGTGCATTAAACCAACTCGTGCTAAAAATATGGAAAAGCTAAATATATACATATAATATATAATCTACTTAATTAAAAATATAATTAAAAATATAATTTCAATGTATTACTTCTTCAATCAAATTCTGAGATATTTTAAATTACGTATGTCTCCTAAAGAAATCGTCAATTACCATATGTGTAATTAAATGTTGAATTAAAGTAGTATGATATAAATATAATATAAATGAGTAAGATTAAAAACAAAGAAATAAAAACTTACATTGGTCAGCACGCGAGTCATTTAAGTGATAAAGAATCGGTACGAGAACTTCAAGAACGTCCGAGCTTTTTAGCACATAATATAAAAACTTCTTGTTGTAATCACACATCTTCCAGAAGAAAACTAGCAGCTCTTGATGAAAATGCACTTTTTTGGTCGAGTTCGGCAGATACGTTTGCATTAATGGATTATTCAACAGTCTAGTGATACCCTTTAGGACAAATTGGAAATCTGTGGAAACAAAAACATACATTTCAGTCTATTTCTATATATAATACTTATTTCTTCATCTTTCTATGTATTTATTTTTTATCTATAAATTGACATTTAATTAACCAAAAATAATATAAACTTCAGAATCTAAGAAAAAAAATTTTAATTTTACTCCTTATTTAATTTTAAACATATATTGCTTTAACAAAACTTTAAATAAAATCTAATTATACAAAAATATATAAAATTAAATATTAAAAATGTTACCTTCATCGCGATGAATTCGACTCAAATAATTAATAAACAAATTATCTCCGACTGCTCCCTCTTCCATCGGTATTCCACCAGTAGTGTCATGATCTAAAGTTACAATCAAGATTTGCAACGCGACATCGACCAGCGGCTCTAAGGAATCGGTGAACAGCAAATGATTGTATGGCACTCCATATCCGACAGGATCGTATGCGCATACCGTGTTTAAAAGCGATGTAAACATAGGTAAAGCGTGTCTGTGAACAATCGCATGTAATTACAAATTAAATAAAAAATATGATGACATATAAATATCCTATGTAATTGTTGGATTATTTTAGTGTACTATTTAAATATATTATACATATAAGATGTATTTAAATATATTGTACACATAAGGTATTCCATGATTGAAGAACTTGTATACAAAGGTACAAATAATATAACAAGTATAAAATATATACATTATGTACGGTTGTACTAAAATAATTACCTATTTTCACTACTAGTCAAATGTTCAATCCATCTGTTCGGCGTGATTGATAGATCCATCGGCGGATTGTACATGGTTTCGCTGAAGCATGTCAACAAGAGCTTCAACAATTCCGTGCGGTTGGAATCTAGAATGGGATATCTGGGTGGCGAATATGCGAAGCCTACTCCCGCTTCCCATATATATTCACAGCTGTCTATCGACTGCAACTCATCGGCTTTGTCCTGTAAAGACATTACGAGGCATAACACATTCCGTACTTCTAATACTATCAAAACTCCGATATCTAACGGAGACTCACCGGACCGGATTTTCTATTTGCAGCTACGGTAAAATCAGGACAAAACAATAGATCCTAAAATAGAAATAGATTTAAGATTAATTACTTTACAGACTATACATATACATTCTACACTACTATAACATATATTCTCATATTTTATATAAAATATTAAACATCTAATTAATTATTAAATAATATAATTTTATTACTAGTAATAATAACTTAAACACATACATTTTAGATTATAATAACAAAATTATGAAAACATAATATGTAAACATTTAATATGTCATTATCTGCTTTAAATATATCTCTTACACAAAGCGCGTTCAACAAAGAATGTGCCAATGGTAAGCTCTCTTCGTCATCTTTGCCAGGTAAACTGGACCAAAAGAAGCCTTTCCAATCGGGATCCTCAAATATGTAAGGTAACAAGCGTGTCAGCAAGCGACAGCAGTTCAAAACAATCTGATGCTCCCGTTGAGTTCTACAGCTGCTATCCACCGCCTTGACTAACTTCTCGACCGCCTTGTAGCATAATGTGGCTAAATTGGAAGGTGCCTCTTCTCTCAATACACGAATCTCTGGAGCCGGAATCAGGGTAAAAATATCCTGAACATTGGTCACATTCTCAGACCAAAATTGATCCCAGAATATATCATCCGATGCATCGATCACCTGTTGGTACAATTGCAAAAATAAAATTTATATAGAACATGGTAATGATAATTTGAAATTTTGGTAGATTCACTAATCTTCATCATTCAGTATATAACATACATTTCTTCTAATTTAACAACTGATTATGAATCAAAAATTTTAATATGATAAAATTAGAGATTCTATAATAAAGTATGAGTAAGAATAAAGCAAGAAGAAGGATATATATACTGTCTCTTTTTATATGCCATTTCATTCTGATTTATACTTTCTTATTCTAACTTACTGAAAGTGATAAAAACAATGAATCAATCAAAAGTTTGTTCATCTCGTGATCAGACTTTGTTATTTAAGGTCTCTAGGTAAAACAAAGTATATTGACATATGTGCAGAGTGAAAATCTAATTTTTATTATTATATATACACAATTTTCACAACAATTTATTTATTATAGCAGTCATTGTTGTAGCAATTCGACAAATCTTAAAATAGCTTGTATTATCATGTTTCAATAATCTCTATCAGCAAGTTTTACATAATAATTTACATGATATGTTAATCCTTTTTTTTTACTTAACACATTGACATTATGTATATATAAAATAAAAAATGCAGATATTCTGGATTCATCACAGAGACTCAGCGATTGCCAAGATTTTTCGTCGAGAAATTATACTTATGTCGGTCTACCACCGATCATATGTTATTCGTCAAGTAAACAAGCGAATGTCTGTACCTGAGTTTTCGACGTTAATTGCACCACAGCCTTTCGAAAGTTCAGCTTTGTATCAGCATTGCCCATTGCGTTCCTCGTCGTCACCAGTGGCAATTAAAGATTCGTCGTAGTCAAAAAGGGAATGAAAATGCGTCGCTGCTCTTTAAACGGACACCATCATCGCCATGTTTGCATTGTGACAGCGGGCAGGATTATAGCTGATCAGAGCTACCAACCACGTTACTTTTCGCGCGAAAAATATGATTGGAAAAAACAGGACATTCGATCTCATTACCAGAAAGCCGAAAACCTTGAAAATACTTGGGGAATCCCGAAAAAAGAAAAGGAGAGGATTATAAATTTTACATCTTTTTAAATTATCAGTAGAGGTTCAACTTTATTAAACTAAACACAATCTATTTTGAGAAAGAAACTGAAACATTTATCTTAATATATATATATATAAAATTTATTTTTGAATAACGTTTATACTTTAAAAATAAATATTGGGTCGGAGAAAAAGTTTCTTCGTATTTTTTAATTCAAAATTGTATATACAATATCTTCGTCAAAAATAAATGAAATTTCAATTTAAAAAGAGAGTTTTCAAGTTTTGAAATCTCTACTTTCGAAAGATTACTATATTTTTTCAGTTTCTGTGAGTTTGATAATTTTTACATCAAAAAAACTGCGAGCTGAAAAAGATGAAAATTTTTCTTTTCACTTTGAAGGTCTCCACGTGTCCAAAAAAAATTTACAAAAATTTTCGACTACCTATCGTAAAAGCTCGAAGCTTTTCCTACAAAATCATTTTTTAAAAATGTTCCTATGATTTTTTGTTACTGAGTTATTAAGCGAATTAAGTAAAGGAGCATTCTAACTTTGGTTGCTCGTAACTCCGATAAAAATCATCCCACCGCAATTTAAAAAACAGATTCTTAAAGCTAAAACTTTGCTCTAACGCATAATATAATTGTAACGAAAATTTTGCAACAAATGAAAAACTTTTTTCAAATACAAAAAATTTTTTTTAAATACGAAGAAACTTTTTCCCCGACTTAATATATATAGATTTTATAAAAATTAATTCTTAATAAAAAATTCTTCGTCATTTCTGTTTCACTTTCGAGTAATGTTTGTACAACTCTTTTCATTTAGAAATTACGTTTATCCTCTTCTTGTTGACAAATTACTGTTTCCCTGTGTTTTTTGTTCCACTCTTCCATCTTATCAATGGAGATCCATATATCATTTGCGAGTAACTCCGGCTCTTCAAATGCCGCGAAATGACCTCCTCGAGGCATTTTGGTAACTCGTAAAAGATTCACAAATCGTATTCTCAGTTCGTTTGGACTTTGAGTCATGATTTCGTAAGGGAATTGTACACAAGCGCTAGGAACTTTTATCGGTGTCCTATAAAAGAAAAAAAACATTTAATATTTAACATTTATACATTGCAATAATAACAACTTGGAATAACTATTATATACGATTGCAAGATCCTCGCTAAGGAAATATTCGACTTGGTATAGTGTTCAGCGTATATTCTCATGGCTGTAGTAATGCTATTCGACATCCAATAAATCATCAGATTATCGATTAACTCGTCATATGTATATTTCTCTAAAAATCCACCGTCTGCTCTATATTTGTAAGACGGATTTGTACCAGTTGAAAATTTTTCAATGATATACGCCGCCAAACCAGCAGGTGAGTCGTTTAGACCGACCCCTAAAACATATAACGCTTTGAAAGATACTAGATTTTCATTCGTTAAATATGCGCAAAATCTTCTTATACATTTAATTAATAGAATATAAATGTTAACTCTTTTTTGCGTTATTGTATGATAAGTACGTCGCATACCAACTGTATCCGGCTTCGTAGCTTGAATATGAAAATATCCAGTCTCTCCAAGAATTGAAAAACCAATTCTTTTTTTAGTTTTTTCCCAAGGCAAAAACGATTTTTTCAAAAGAGTCAATGTTTTTTTCATTAGGATCCATTTATTGAACACTAGGCACAAATTGGAATGCAAACCCAAAACGCTGCAATTTGTACAACATATATATATATATATATATTATTATATAATTACTGATGTAAAATTATGCTGGTCCAATTCAATTTATAATATCAGTTGTCATAAAACCAAATTTAATATACACAGCATACTTTATCATAACGGACATCCTCAGAATTTCTAGAAACTTCAGACGATAGGGTGTCCTCTAAACGTTCTTAAAACGTCCTTTGAATATTTTTAGGACATCCATGAAGATCTATGTTATACAAATTAGCGTTTATGCAACATTTACGTCAGTAGTTGACAACGTTATTAAACCTGATTGTAACGTGCAAATCATTAAGTACATCTTTAAAGTTAGACATCATATCAGATTTAATTGATAATTTCAGGCAATAAACTTACTGTTGCGGATATAAACATGACATAGTATGGATGACGAAGGCACCCCAATCGCCACCTTGAACATAATACTTATTATGTCCGAGTCTCAACATGAGATTCTTAAGAATCACACTTATTTGAATGGTCGAAAGTTCAGGTATCGTAGCTGCGCTAGAGAAACCAAATCCAGGTAACGAAGGCGCTATCACTTCAAATACAAAATCGTGCTCGGGTTTCGGTGAGATAAGTAATGGAATGATTTTATAAAATTCCATTATGGACCCGGGCCATCCATGCACAATTAGCAATGGCAAAACACGTTTTCCTTCCGTATTATTTGATTTCGCATGAATAAAGTGAATATCTAATCCTGTGTTAAATACAAAATATGTACATGTCTGTAACTCAGTGTAATATTGAAAAATAATAACATAAAAGTATATGTAATCAACTTTGATACTGAAATCATCTTATAGATTTCTATAAATATATAAAATTGAATTCTTACAGACCGAAAATAGTTCGAATATTTTCGAATTATTCATCCGAGTACCAGATTTCGTTTTGATTTTATTTTATTTAAATCGATATATAAAATTTTGTATAAAATATATAGTATTGAAATAAAATAAAACACATAAAATTACAACAGAATATATAATTATAATTTAAAAAATCTTATTATAAGTAAAATTATAGAATTTATATTATAATAATACAAATAGAATTACATAAATCGTATTATAAATAAAATTCTTATATAATACTAAGGATTCTAAAATCCTTACTATTACATAAGCATCTCATAATAATCTGTAAAACTTAAAATATTTACTACTTGAGTATCAATCATATAACTTTTCAAAAAACGTGACAATTTTTATGTATGTATGTACATATATTAGGTGTTGGAATTAATTCGTAGCGTTTTTTAATGAAAGAATGTTATTTATTTCACATGAGCATTAAAAAATACATTAATGAAAGTACTTCCCATCACTTGTAAAACGCTACGAATTAATTCCAACACCTAATAATATACACATACATACAAAAAATTTTACATTTCCATTGGGGAAAAAATTACATGATTGATTCTCTAATGTCAGGTTACAAAAATATTCAAAATATGCGAAAGAATACTCGCTGTATATACTTTTCTGTTGATCGTATTCTCGTACCTTGAATATTCGTTTTAAAATGCGAATACTGATTTATGTACTTCTCGCGTTCGTCAAAATTATATTTGTTCTCCCAATAGTCTAAAAGTTTGCGCAGGGCGTCGGTATTAGTGCCATAATTCCAGGCAACGTCTTTCAATGGCGGTATCAAAGGTCTGGTATGCTTCAATCGGTACTTCAAATCTTTTACCATCTACAAACAATATTTTCTATTGCATACAATGAATATCTCATTTACTAGCTTGTATTATTCCAAATTCGTTATAAGATTTTTTTTAAATCATATCAATTCGTAATAAATCAAAATCGTCATTTGACTGATTGAGTCTTGAATAAGTAAGTACTCAGTCATTCGAATTAATGTCAAATAAGTGCTCAGTGATTATTTACAATTAGTTTTTACCCAAAAAGAATAGTAAGTCACGGTAACATCAAAAGGACATTAAAATGATAATTAAAAAATAATTAATTATTATATCATTTTAGAATCATTTTGATATCACAATTATAATTTATTGTTCTTCTTTAGTACACTATTGTTACATGCTTTAATCGATATTTCAAATCTATCATTACATGCAATTACGATGCCATTGTCTATTATCTGTAACAATTAACTGTTTAATTAAACTATTTCATGAAATTGCTCTTTACACGATAGTGTCTCAGCGCTAATTTAAAACAAGCAATATATAGAAACGTTTTTTCAATCATATCGATTCACAACAAAAAAAAAACAGTAGTAACAGTAACGAAATTATTAGGTGTTGGAATTAATTCGTAGCGTTTTTTAATGAAAGAATGTTATTTATTTCACATGAGCATTAAAAAATACATTAATGAAAGTACTTCCCATCACTTGTAAAACGCTACGAATTAATTCCAACACCTAATACTTTAATTTATAAAATAACTTTGTCAATCCTGAATACCTCTTCGGAAAAAGTAACTTTGTATGGTCTGATGTCATTGTTGACAGAGTTCTCGGTACCGGGCGTCCACCAGGTCTCTGGCAATTTCGATAACTTCGTCCTATGGGACGAGAAGTATCTTCTCGTTAGGATGATTAGCATCGCCGAACTAAGGATAATTACGCCAAGCAGTAAACAATCCATTTAAACGGCACACTTTATATTTAACTCTGCAAATAAAAATAAACCGCATTTGCTAACTGATTACAGCATAACGCTACACTATCGCATCGCGATTACGAGTTGCACAACAGCGCAGTGACGTAATCAGTGATGTAATCATGTTAAAGTGGGCACCAAATCTCGAAATTATGCAAACATTAACAGGTTAAAAGGCATTCGAGATAAATAGTCAAGACATCTTGCAAAGTGTTTTTGGATTCAAATTTAGAATACCAATAGAAATATATGACAAAGAATGTTCCGTTTCTTGCATGATATGCATAATATATAATTTTATCCTTGTTATTCACTGAATATTAAAAAAAGATAAAGAATAAAAAGTGAAGGATAATAAAAATCACACATCATACGCATCATGAGTAAAACAGTTTAAGAATTACCTATTAAAGTCCATATCAAGCATGCATTAAAGGATTGCGAATTAAAGATTAAAATTCGATCAATTAGAACAAGATGGATTAAAATTAAAATTATCTGATTAGTTCAATTTTAAGCTCAATATTCCGATCTTCAATTCGTGAATTTTAATAATCTTTAATTGATTACAATTCAAATGTCATTTTTTTCCATTGTTTATAGCGTACCGTACATTAATATTTTATTGTTTACTGAAATAAAACAAATTGATAACAAGAATAAATAC